GTTTGCGTCCTTAATGTATTTGTTTAAAGTTTCCAAGCAATTCGTTTCAGCAATGCTTCGTTACTTTCCTTAGGTGTTATCGACTCTGTAATGAACAGCAGAGACTTATAGGCAAACCACGTGGAGGAGTAGTTATCTTCAGCGCCCGAACCACTTTTTCTTTTAAACACTTTTTGGCGTTCCTTAGAAAAGTATGAACGCAAAGTTTTTATTTTGTTTTTCACACTCTTCACGTCGATGTTTAACTTGCTGCTCATCTCAATCAAAGCATCGCTCCGTTTTGTTTTATTAGTTGGTTGTGGTCCCATAACAGTTGAAACGACCTGTAAATGTCCTGCTAAAACTGCTGTCGTTCAACTCTCTTCAGGCATGCGTAGACGCATGCGTTACGTGCGCTATTGCTTGCGCTATAACGCATGCCATTGACGAACGTAAAAGCGCACGAGTGTAGACATAGCTGAAAGACTTCCCACATGTGACACACATCTGCAATTCTCGACCTGTATGCACTGTTGCATGTCGTTTCATAGCACCCAACTGAGTAAATATTTTTCCACATCGATTACACAAATATGACTTTCCATTTCCATGCACAATAGAATGCCTTTTGAGATAGGTTCTATTTGAGAATCCCTTACCACATACATCACATATATATGACCTGTGTATCCTATCCACAAGAATATGTTTCACCTTACGTCTCCTCAGGGAATCCGTTCTTGAGTACATACATTACAAACGTACGGCTGTTTATCTACATGATTTCTCATGCGTCTCATAAGATGGCATTTAAGCTACTGTGTGCTTCGTACAGTGAAGACGAGAGGACGTTACGGCGGAAAACATGACAACCTGCGGGTCCAATCAGCGTCACAGCCCAGGAGACCAAAATCGACATCGTTGAGGTTAATGTGATAACAAGAGGCTGCCGATCGTTGGCGAGATTTGTCAACGATGGTACAAAACCCTGGGCTCTGCTTTCAGGCAAAGAGCTGCTTCTAGCGATCCTTGACATTCTGGTTTACCTTCAACACACACTCACAGTATTGCGATGTGCGCGAGGAACTCCTTCGGACGGAGATGATAAAATAAAAATTATAAGACCGCTATCATTTAAGTATTATAATCTACTGACGGAACCTGTACTTGGATGGATAAGTTGAAATAACTGCACGATTTATATTGTCCAGTGACAGAGACTAGCTCTATCTAAGGGACCGAACAGAGTAGGTACCTCTCACCTGAAGACGGAGATAGGACCAGCCTCCGAAACGTCGTGATTTTAAAGATAGAAAAATTCCTGAAAATGCATAATTTTAAGTGTAAACTACCGTCGTCAAAACCCTTTAGGATTGAATTAATATTACCTATTACAAACAACTTACTGGAGTTTTTTTCAACCATGTGACTCTCCCGTATAAATGCGTTGGCTAGACTGGCTTGATCTGCAGCTCAGTGGGCCTCGTGTGAAAGGGTTCCATGTTAAAGCAGGCAAAACTCTCCCCGCCAGTAGCCGCTACTAGCGGGGAGAGCTGCTTAGTGGCTCATGAGCCGCTCACACAGGATCACCGGCTCTCGTTTGAAAGGGTGCAATGCATTTTGCTGGGATTTATATCCCCAGCAGTCGCTTCAGCTCATGCGAGGCGCTCGCACAGGTTCAGTGGTTCTCGTTTGAAAGGGTCCAATGCATTTTGCTGGGATTTATATCTCCAGCAGTCGCTTCAGCTCACGTGAGCCGCTCACATGAGCCACGTGTGAAAGGGCCCTTACGGTAAATTTTAATTTGTATTCAGAGGTGTGTCGTTACCCAAAGAAAACACATTTTTACTCCTTTTTGAGTAATTTGCCCAGGTTTAAGAAGCACTGGGTTGGAGCTTACACAGACCAGGCCATGAGGACACACTGAAATTAGACCTCGTATTCTTCATATTCTGGTTTGGTTTGCTCTGAACAGTTTCGTAGATGACTATCAACGTTTCGGAGAAACCTATAAGTTCATTTTCAGAACCCAGAAGATCACAGTCTGAATTTTCATCGCTGTGAAAACCTGAAATATCATATACTTCTTCCTTTAACTGCTTCGGGAATCTTTTCCTGGGGACGATCCTATCACAACGCAGATGTCGAGGAAACGTCTAAGAACCGATCAGGATTCCTCCCGCAGTACCATTGTTATAGAGGAGTGTTATTTTATGGGGAAAATGACAGTAGGGAGGGCCGCGATTCGGATTGGCTGGCTCCGGAAAGCAACGTAATGCCTGACACGACAGAGGAAAAGGTCTTCTGGGAGGAGCTCCCGCGAGAACTTCAAATCTCAAAATTATTTTTACTTCTCTTCCTTATCAGTACAAAAGCTAACAGAAATTTCTGAAAATAACCACTTTTGTGAAATATTTGAAGCTTTCACTGCTCGTCCTCGTTGAAGTATAGTCTGTCTCCATCACCAGGGTCGAAGAATTTCTATTTTATTATTCCAGTGAAACCACTGGTAGCTTGGGTCCGCGGAACACAGTTTGCCAACCGCTGGTTCAGACAGTATGCCTGTAAGGGTCACTTTGAGACAGTAGACACATATGACTGAGCCACAGTCAACAAGAGCCTTGAAAATGAGGAAAGAGATGGTCCCCGAAACGTCGGCGATTATTCAACATCTAACACGGCTGATAGCCCGAGAAGACACTTACGTAAGAGGATGTTAAAGAAAAGGCTATAAGCATGACATTTATGGAAATGCTGTGAATTTGGCTCTTCGAAGCCGAAGCTCGTCTGGATACGATCACCTGCATAACATTTAGGAGTACAGTCCGTACCGCAAAGAAAACACATCACTCCACCATTAGAATAATATGAAACCACAAATGTAAAACGTGGAGCTAATGATCGTTGAAGCGTGCGGTACGTATAATTACCACTGGGATTTCGGGTGAAGGTGCGTTCCTTTTGTGCCAAGATGTGTTTGGGTGTTTTGATTCACGAGGATTTAGCCTCAAAGTGGGAGAATTTCTGGTTAATAGGATTTAAAGGATTCTACGTTACATGGAAAACAATCCTGCAGGTAGGATCGATAATTTGTAATTTAATTATAGATCATGCGCATTTGTTTTCTTGTGTTTCCACTTAAACGTTTATATCTTGACGAGCGGGGGGATAATATTAAAATGGACATAAGAATGTGGACTGAATTCATCTTGCTGAGGATAACGGCGCGCTTTTGTGAACACGGTAATGAAGCTTCGGGTTCAATAAAAGGCAGAGTTTTCTCGACTAGCTGAAAATACTTTCATATCCTAATGAAGGAATCTGCTCATTCGGATTAATGTTAAAATTCGAGTCTACAATTTTAATTTTCCTCTGCACTTGCCATCAGTCATAAAGCGCACATTTTGAAACGTTACTTTTCTGACAATTACTTATTTAATGACAGTCTGAACTGCAAAGCTTATTTATTTATTTGTGGTTTATTTAATGCGCTGTTAGTAATTTTTAATTTACTATTTATTATTTTTCTGTTAACCATTTTTTGAGGTTAACTCTAAATTTAGTTTGCACATTTGAGTAGTGTTTACACGGTGAAAATAAGAACTACAGCTGTGACAACTTTAAACTGACAACAATCAACTCATCAACAATCAACTAACATTTTTACGCAGTTATGTGTTGCGCCAGTAACAATGAATATCATATCAACAATGTAAACACCGTCCAAACAGATATCAACACAGAAGTAAACAACAGTATTGTTTGAAACCATGGTAACTGTCAACTGGAAGTCTGTGTAAATGCATATAGAAGTTGCAGACTAGCGACATTGTTACTTCAGAGTGTAACAAAGCTTGGCGAGCGAACGTTTCGCGTGTGTAGTGATCAGTCAGAGCAGAGAAAAGCAAGAGATCAGGATGAACAGAAGATGCGGTCTGGTGCACCGATCCCATTTCTCATCTCTGCCAAGCGAGTGTTGTGGATGAACCTAGCAGTCAGGAGATGACATGGTTGAGGGTGGAGATGACGTCACACCGATGTAAGTTCGTTTTGCGATCGAGTTCCTGGCACATCACTAACAAATTAACTGATCAGCTGATGTGGTCAACTGGCCTCCCGATAAACTGATTAACTTTTTTGAGGGATTCAGTCTCTGATTAGGCAACGTAAGACCGGGTCAGCATAATCTAAACTTTTACAGACTAACAGACGGACTTAGGTTACTGAAATGGTTCAAAAACTAATATATGACGCAACAGATTGTCAATCAACACTCCTATTAACCCGGCTCTGAGGCTGATTTTAAATCATAGGACCCCATAAAGTTAAAGGAAAATAGACTCCCGATTGTCCATGTTGGTTTGGGAATATATGTTCCCAGATAATCGAAATCCTGGATAATCTCCAAAATTAAATAAAAACACTAAAATCTAACAAATATTTAAATTTATTTACAGACATGAAATGTCTATATAGTTAAAGATTTACTAGCAAAAGTTTAAAGTTTAATGCTGTGTATACCAACAATTTTTTAAAGGATCCCAATGGATAGCAATAACTTTCTTTTGTCGTAAACTAAACGTTTTGGCTACAACTGAATTATACTTCAAATAATGTCAGTGTTACGCTTTCTTTGGGCGAAGTCCATAGGGAGACCGTATTATAGGCTGGTCATATCTGTGCAGTTGATTCAACTCAGGAACAACTGGAGGAATTAGCGACGAGTCGGGAAACCACACATTCTCTGAGGTGCTTCAGGCTAACGACCTGAAAAATGTACACGCCAACACTGGTGGCTCCCCTGCGACTTATTCTGTATATTATGATCATAAAGCTGGAACAGTTGACATTCGAATGAAGGTAGCTTCTCAAGAACAGACGGCTACGCGTTTGAAAGATACTTGTGATCACAAGCCGATTACTGGGCTGGGAAAATGTGAGTACTAGTGTTGTGGATGAACCTAGCAGTCAGGAGATGACATGGTTGAGGGTGGAGATGACGTCACACCGATGTAAGTTCGTTTTGCGATCGAGTTCCTGGCACATCACTAACAAATTAACTGATCAGCTGATGTGGTCAACTGGCCTCCCGATAAACTGATTAACTTTTTTGAGGGATTCAGTCTCTGATTAGGCAACGTAAGACCGGGTCAGCATAATCTAAACTTTTACAGACTAACAGACGGACTTAGGTTACTGAAATGGTTCAAAAACTAATATATGACGCAACAGATTGTCAATCAACACTCCTATTAACCCGGCTCTGAGGCTGATTTTAAATCATAGGACCCCATAAAGTTAAAGGAAAATAGACTCCCGATTGTCCATGTTGGTTTGGGAATATATGTTCCCAGATAATCGAAATCCTGGATAATCTCCAAAATTAAATAAAAACACTAAAATCTAACAAATATTTAAGTTTATTTACAGACATGAAATGTCTATATAGTTAAAGATTTACTAGCAAAAGTTTAAAGTTTAATGCTGTGTATACCAACAATTTTTAAAGGATCCCAATGGATAGCAATAACTTTCTTTTGTCGTAAACTAAACGTTTTGGCTACAACTGAATTATACCTCAAATAATGTAAGTGTTACGCTTTCTTTGGGCGAAGTCCATAGGGAGACCGTATTATAGGCTGGTCATATCTGTGCAGTTGATTCAACTCAGGAACAACTGGAGGAATTTGAACGAAACTTGATGTGGAGTTTGGAGTTCGTTTGCGCTATATACGGAAACTCACAATTATACGTTTAAATTTCTTACGAGCGGTGATAAAATGGCGGCTGAGAAAGTCGTGGGGTGGGCTCAGGAGCGGCTGCAGTGGAAATTTGTTTGTTGCAATGGCGACCACTGTTTACTGTTTATGGTGGTTACTGCGGAAACAATGATAAATACAGACGTAAGCGGCGATCGTCCAAGATGTTCGTGTTTGTTAATACTGCATTTTATTTGGAAGTGCTTAGGTTAGAACAGGTCAGGACACGTTAGATTTGGCTGTGTTATGTTAAGTGAGATTAGCTGAGTTAACACGTGTTAAGTTAGGTTCCTTTAGATTCTGTTAGATAAATTTAAGTTAGGATAGATGTTTAAATACTAATTTTAAATATTTGAAAGTCGAATGTGAAAATTATAAAACATTAAATTCTTGAGTTAGAAATTTCTAAATTATTTTTTAACATTTTAAATTTAAGGGGCTTACAACATTTAAAAATTTAGAAACTTTAAATTAATTTTAAGTTTATTTCATAGGGCAAGGCTAATGTAATACCTCTTAATGCACGTTGCAAAGAACGCATGAGGGTGTTATTTCCGAGCTTCTTGCATTTATTTACTGACATTGTTAAACGATATAAATTTTACAACGAAGTTTCTAAATTGACTTTTAATATTCGTTTAAAGCTATCCTCAACCCGGTTCATCTGCTTTCCGATGATCGGAATTCTTCTGTAAATTTGTCAAAATATGTATCTGTAACCCGTCTTAGATGCGATTTAGAAAAAACTCGGGCATTTATTCTTTCCGACAGTGGCCAGACTCTGGGAGAAGACCGACAGTCCCGCACACCTGCAGTCCAAGACCATTCGGAATGGCAGCCGAGATCAACAATTAGGAGCCTCATTTACAACAGCGCTCGCAAGGACATTGTTTATGAAGCATCTATAAGTGCAGCTCAGCGTGTTGAAAACCCCGCGACTGATATACCAGACGCGCGACCTCAAGAGCGTCCTAACCAAGTAATCCCACAGAAAAAAGTTGCTTCCACATCTGACGTAAGGCGAGTGGACGAATATTCTCAACCCATCACCAGGACGCCCACCACGTTGGAAATTGATGAAGACAGACAACAAACAAACGAAATTAATGACAGTGAGAACACAGACGGCCCTCTTAATTTAAGCAGAAGAAATTCAGAAGTTATGCGACAAAAACTAATTGAACGCGTTTCATCTCTATTTTGAGATACGTATGACAAGGACTTGATGGAAAATGCGATCAGTAATGTGACTGATATAGGACAGAGTTCTCAGGACCGCAATTCACCCTCCTTAGGAGAGCGAGAAGATGACGGTAAAAAAATCCGTCTGAGTCTCGACAACGCCGTGGGTTTTGTATGTAGAGGGTGAGAATTAATAGCCGCTGCTGAAGCCGTGCGGAACTTGCAGCAAATATAAAGGTGTTCTTGTGACAGGTCGACGATGAAATCTAAGTACTCGGTTGTGGAAAATTCTCAAGACGTTATAATTCGTATCCTCACAGCGGTGAGTACGAAGATGGCTGCCTTCTGGATTCTAGATCCTTGTGGTCTGGTAAAAGTTTACTAAAGTTTCAGAAATCCTTGCTGCCTCCATGTGTCTTCGTTTTCCAGATGGAGGAAACAGTCAGTCAAGGGAAAGACCTTAAGGTGGAGACTGACTTGTAAAATTTACTCGTAATGTAACATTCGCGGCGAGCATGTTACATTACACCACAACTGGTGAGGCGTATCGAATGTTCGTTTTGAACGCTCGGCTCGACTGTGCTCATGTGTGCTCCATTCATTTCATTCAATATGTCGGACGTGGAGGTTGTGTTATCTTTGTTTCATTTAATACGCTACTCTTATCTAAAGAACTCGTGAATGCTCGTTACGACGCCGCTCGACTGACTGACTGACTTGTAATGTAACACTCAAAGGGATTCGCGAAAAAACCGACAACACGATGGAGCGCCCGCGAGCGTGAGCAGCTCTCATCGAGCGGCTCCGTTCGCTGTCTTCACTTGTGTAATGCTCGATTTGTAACACGTTACATTACAAGCAAATGTTACAAGTCAGTCGCCACCTTCAAGCGAACCAGTCGGTCGTGGGGTCGAGAACGGGCAGTCGCGTGGGAGATAGCGAGAGAGGGGAGGGCGTGCCTCAGCCTGGCGAGTCGGAGACTCCCAGGCACCTTCCCGATCCCAACCCTACACCCACTGATCCGGCCAAGGTTTTGCCTTGCCTGACAGGTTTCTTTATCTGAAAACGGAAGACGCGCGCGGCTTACTCAACGCCCTGATGATAGAGGCAGCAAGGACCTCTGAAACGTCGGCAAACTTCTACCAGACTGCACGGCGCAAGAAACCAAAAGACAGCCAACTTCAGTCTCACCGCCGTGAAAACCTCAACTCCTACAAATTTCAATACAGAGTTTTATTTTTTTTTTTTTTTTTTTTTTTTTTTTGTCATCAGGGAGGAGATCCTGTGTTTAATGACGTAGAAGCAGGGGACTAAACCTGACGATGGCCATACCGGTTCCAAACATGTTCAAGTGAAATGAGAATAAACAGCGGATGTGAAAATGACGTGCGGAAAAAACCAAGAATTTAAAGTGACGAGTAGAAGAATCTAGAGGAATAGGTGTTGGGGGTATTTTTAAGGCGTCCAACAAGAGAGAGCATAAGTAAGTGAATAATTGTAAAATCTCATTCGTTCAACATTAAAATATCTGTATGATTTGAGGTTTTCGCAGCGGTGAATATGAAGATTTCTGTCTTCTGGGTTGTTGCGCTGTGTAGTCTGGTCGATGTTTACCAACGTTTCAGAGGTCATACTGCCTCCGTCATCAGGGAGATGAATGACGGACGCAGTATGACCTCTGAAACGTTGGTAAACATCGACCAGATTACACAGCGCAGGAACCCAGAAGACAGAATTCTTCAATACAATATCTGATTCCAGGTCTTCATGTTCATAAAACAGACCCTACAAGACAGGTTTTCAATTTAAGAAGAAAATGAACTTATTTTAATTGTATGTGTAAGAATAAATATGACACATTAAATGGCATGGTCCTGCATTAGACTTTATTTATAGCGAAAGGTATCAGAGATTTTTCTCGCTTGCTATGAGGAGCAGATGAGTATCTGTGTTGAACAATGTTTGTTATTGTTAAAGAATGCATCCACGAACAACGAAATCGGCCACGACACTTCACAGTGGTCGCAAGTTGAAAGAGTGGTTGTCGACACCATATTGTTCGGCACCAAAACATTTATGGCGGCGATTTTGAGTTATAAATTTAGAATGGCATGTAAGGAAGCGGTCGTGGCCTGTTTTAAGGTACTGTATTTGTGGGAACTGGTGGTCCTCTTAGTGTTGGTAGCGTGGCTTGGAATGGAGCAAGGCAAGTTCACAAGGATGCTGTCGTCAGCTTAAACTTACTCAGCTGATATGATATTTCTTCCAGGAAGCTACAACCTGTTCCCTAAGACTATACACCATTTATTTCTAAGACTAGGTACTGCATACATTTTACATCTGTGTTGAACATTTCATTCCTAACTCAGGATAGTTCACTTTACACTCTACAACAATTTGGTTACCTAAATTTTGAAAGATTTACTAAAGTACATGTACCAGTCGTCGCCTCGGCGTTTACCTGCAATCAGTAGCCCTATCAGTGTCTCGTTGGCCATGGCTTCAGTGACCTCTTTACTTCTTGAAAGTTTAAGCGGTTCTGTCTCCCACTTTCCTCCTGAACTTTTCATTCGCTTTTCCAATATTTCTGCTGACTGCCTAATGGCTACGTACGCATTTCCGTTAATTGTTTTTGACGTAAATACGTCTATATGGAAGAGTCAGTGTCATTCCGCAAAAAAGTGTGACGAAAAAGTGAAAAGAAAATGTGTAAGATGGTTACCTAGGAAACGTCATCTGTTTATCAACAAATAAACAGCAATGGTTACCTAGGAAACATCTATTTACTCGGCATTGTTATTACCTATAAAACATTACTTTACATTACATTCAGCTACCACAGACCCATCTTAAGCGTAAGTAATTCAAGTTAAATAAGCAATGTCTTAATCAAACTTATCTCAATTGTAAAGCATGTATAAAGGAAATATTTAGAATAAAGCCAATATACAAACTTCCTTTCCGTATAGAAGTATTTACGTTAAATTCTCCGGAACCTTGGTTCTACTGACAACTTTTTCTATCCCCCTTAGAGAAAGGTGAGTTAGCCTTTGCTATTTTCCTCAATGACAGAAAATGACATTTGCACATTAGCACAATTCTTACATCTGCTATACTTAATTCTATGCAACTTAAAATTCAATTCAATTAATTCAATTCAATTCAATTAATTTATTTACGTGAATGCCAACAGCAAGAAGCCAATAACAGGCAAACACTGATAATATATACAATAATAGTGAAATAAAAATTAAAAATATTACACAAACGGATTAACTAAACTTATAAATATACAGTATTAAATATAACTGCCAAGTACAGGCAAACCCAAAATAGAAACAATATTAACACAGAGCAAAAAATGAAGGAATATAAATAAAAACAAATAATCCACGTAGGGAACACTAATATAATTGTAAAACTTTAAAAAATATAAAAAGACAGATAACCAAGCTAGATCATTTCCCTTGTTGAGAACGTTCGCTCAAGGGAGACAATGTTTGTGCTAAATACGTCCAAAGATTTACATACGTCATTTGCAGCGATGACGCACCTGACTGAATGACTTGTCTTAGTGCACTGCTCACACTAAAAGTAGAAAATTCTCTTATTTGCCTCGCCGGCACACGTAAACCAACAGCGTCCATAATGGAATGGCAATTTATTTTGCCCTTAAATACATTAATAAGAAATAACGCATCGAGATGTCGTCGTCTGGAATAAAGTGTTCTAAAATTTAAAGTAGATAGGATCAGTTCATATTTTCGGGGGATATTAAACTGGAAAAATCGGTAATTGCATAAACTGGCAAATTTTCTTTGAATATTTTCTAATTTATTAGAATCTGTCTGTGTAAGATTATTCCAAACGACCGAGGCATACTCAAGCTTTGACCTAATTAAAGCATTATATAAAACAACAAGGCTGTCTAAAGAGGAAAAATTATAAGTAATAAAACGAATAAGCCCTAAGGTCCTTAGTGCCTGGGAATGAACACAATTTACATGACAGTGAAAATACAGTTTACTGTCTAACAAAACACCAAGATCTTTTATACAATTTGTACGCAAGATTAAAAAGTCACTAACAATGTAATTAAAATGGATACTGTTGGTTTTACGTGTGAACGATATAATTTTGGTTTTCTCTATGTTAAGTTCCATATTGTTATCATTACACCACTCATGTACGGAATTGATATCTGCTTGAAGAGCTCTGCAGTCATGCACAGATTTAATATCGTGATATAGTTTCAAGTCATCGGCAAATAAGAGAAATTTAGAATACTTAATTTTGTCGCAAAGGTCGTTAATAAAAATATTAAATAAGAGAGGTCCCAAGGTAGAGCCTTGTGGAACTCCAGATAACACCGCGTAGAAAGAAGAAGACTGTCCTAAAATGCGAACAAAGGCAGATCTGGATGATAAATAACTTTGGAACCACTTGACATAAGGAGAAGATAGTCCAAATTTATTTAGCTTTTTCAAAAGAATAGAATGCGGGACTGAATCAAAGGCCTGCCTAAGATCAAAATACACAGAGTCGATCTGTCCCTGTGAACAAACAGACGGCTGAACATCATTAAGGTAGGTAACTAAATTAGTTACCGTAGATTTTGATTTACAAAAACCATGCTGACTGGGGTGTAATTTGAATTTGAAATAAAAGGAAAGGTGATCATGAACAATGCTTTCAAAAATTTTGGAGAGGTTATTAAGGATCGAAATAGGCCTATAGTTAGATACTAAGGCGCTGTTGCCTTTCTAAAAAATCGGCACACCAGCCGCTCGCTTCCATAACAAAGGAAAGTTCCCACTAGATAAACTAAGGTTGAAAATATGGCGTAAAAGAGGAGTTAAAATCTCAGAACAACCTTTTATGACGAAAGTCGGGATTTCATCGGGTCCGACGCATTTCATTGAACGGAGACGACTAATTGCCCGCGTAACATCATCAACAGAGATACGAGGAATATTCAAAACATCAGAATAGGCGAAGTCAGAACTAGTCGTAACATTAACGCAAGAAGGGGAGTTAAAAACAGAACGAAAGCGGTCAGCAAAAGCCTCAGCGATTGCCTGGGGTTCCGTGATAAAACTGTCTCCAACTTTAATTTGTGTAATCGACTGGTCTTTCTTTTTGAAATTAGAAATATATTTCCAAAAGTGCTTTGGTTGGGTTTTCAAATTTTCTTCAATAGTTTTAATAATATTAATAATAAATTAAGAAGAAAGCGGAGAAGATGTTTAAATACAAGGACCTTCTCATTGAAATACAGAGAATGTGGAAGGTTCAAAAAGTAATTCCAATAATTACAGGAGGAACTGGAACTGTCTCCAGGTCACTCAGAAAATATTTGGTCAACATCCCGGGCGAACACAACATCAGGGAACTTCAGAAAACTGCCATTTTAGGATCTTCATACATCATTCAAAAGACGCTGATGTAAAATATGTAGTCATCTCTAACAATAAAATGATATAATTTGTATTAAAAACAAAATGTATTTCGGAAACAGCTGCTGCACTGTGTACCTCAGGAGCAAGGTTTGTCTTGGGTACATAGAAGTAAATCCTCTTTAATATGGTGAATAGATGGGATAATAA